GTCTTTGATCTTTCAAGCTGTTTAATGCCACTTAGCTGGTGTTGCATTGCTTCAGTCCAAAAGAACTTAAATAAAAATAGCCCATCCATAAAAAAAGCGCCTGAACCAAAGGCCTTCTGTAGCGAATCGATGCGTTTTTGTAAGAAAAATATCCATATTCAAAACGTAATAATCATGTTGTACACTGGAAGCAGTTCCGGGGGAATGACCTATGAGGTGCATGCACCAGTGAGTCTCGTGAAAACCAACGTTTGTTAACAGGAGCAAAAGGAAGCAAAGTTTCCTTACTTTAGCAAAGGAAAACCAGTCTCCTCTTGGCTTATATCGAAATCCTCCGACATTCTTCTTTACAAATCCTCGTTTTGTACTTTGTGACCGTTGTTTTGTTTTGATCTCTCCCCTGCGCTTCCGCGTGCGTCACTTCTGAGCGGCGCATGCGCAAAGCTGACCTTATACGTCATTCCCCCGGAACTGCTTCCAGTGTACAACAGTGAGTGCAAGCTACATTAAAGTGATTATTACGTTTTGAATATGGATATTTTTCTTACAAAAATGCATCGATTTGCTACAGAAGGCCTTTGTTCACCCCCCGAAGCCGTGAGAGACACTTTTTTTTTATGGATGGGTGCATTTTATTTAACTGCTTTTGGACAGATGCATGCAACACCCGCTGAGTGGCATTAAACAGCTTGAAAGATCAAAGACCATTTTTAATATAACTCCGACTGGATTCGTCTGAAAGAAGAAAGTCATATACACCTAGGATGACTTGAGGGTGAGTAATTTATGGGCTAATTTTCATTTTTGGGTGAACTAACCCTTTAAGCTTACAATGACAGAGGGCTTACACTGACTGCAATGCCAGATTTGGGCGCATTACTGAAACGATTAATTTTTCACATGATTCTTAGGCATTTAGAATTAAGTGAGGTTTGTGATGCAATCTAGGATAAGGTATCAAGCACTAGCTCTTCAACTAAATGTTGCTAGTCTGTTTTGAAGAGATGAGACATTTAAGAATAATTGGCTGTATCGCTTTTCCTACATTTTAGACAGCTTGTTGTTGGTGATATGTCATCAGTTCACTCGCTGCTACTAAATAAGCTTCAGCTGTTTAAGCCCTCTGAATTCTAACCTTCATCTGAAGTCACATTTAGACCTATCTGCCTTGTCACATGACTATCAAGCGCTTTCATCAGCCACCACCGTGGACATTTTTTTTGATCGATTAAAAGTTCATATCATATAATCTTTTATATGATCGATGGAGCAAATCTGGACCCTTCATGGGCAAGTCACAAAATAAAAACCTAATTCAAAAGTCTGCAACAACTGAATCTTTCCAGTCACTACGCCTGCTTGCTCAATGTAGCAGATAACTATGATAAAATTGGGTGATTTTCATTGCTGTTGAGCAGACACAAGCTCTATACTGCAACTAGAAATCCAGTCGTTTCTGAACAACAGTACCAATGTGAGGGGATGAGGACTCGGCGTCATGTAACAAGACAAATGCAGCGCAGATCCAGGAGACAAAGTTCTCCTGTTTTCAATCAATTTGATCATACTTAAAACACATCCTGTGGTGAAATGGCAGGACACACAACACTCACCATCTGAGGGGAATTTTACCACATCCTTTGCTTTTTTTTTTTATTTATTCAGAAGATAATTTGCTTTGTAACTTAATAGTCTTACTATGGAGGTGTGTTTAGATGACTGAGTCAAGGGTATCAATTTTCCCCTAAGTTGGTGTGGTAAAGCTGGTCTGTGCCATTTCAATTGGGCCTACTGATAGAAACAAAAACCATGTTAGAGCTGCCAGAGAAAAGAATTAGGGGGTTAACACCTAACACTTGAGCTATCGCAGCGCAAATGTGACTTCAAAGCATTTCCTTTCCTGAGACATTGAAAAAAAAAAAAATCATTTGGGCACATAATGAAAAAGAAAATGTATCCATAAACCCCCAAAAACAAAAATGATAATCGCAGCACTGTGTATACATCGGGCACTGTCCATCCGATAGCAGTAGAAACTTGTGCTGAAGATTCTTCCATCTGTACATAATGAAGGGAAAAGACAATAAAAGAGCTAATTAGTAACTGATCTCAGCACAACAGCAGTGAGCCGCTGACTGAATGCCATCTGCAGTGCTTTGGACAAATGCTGGCTGAAAATGCGCTGGGATTTGGACTGTCCGTGCAAACAGAGGCTGAAAAGCATATTGAGAGGGAACAGTCCGAATGAATAAATCTACATTAAAGGAACAGTTAAATCAACATAACATCTGCCGTCTCAAATAAAGAGAAGCCTTTATGGGTGTTCTAAGAAAACAAGTCAAACGTTTAAATCAGATTGTACAGAACACCCTCATTAATGTGGCAGATTATACACTTGATTTTCCCCTCCATCAGCTAATGACAACTTAGATGTGGCATGCCAGTTTTGGTTGCTGCCTGCTGTGATGCTTTGTTATAAAGCTGGACAGAAACCTGTGAATGAAATGTGGTTACCAAGGTAACCCAGGCCATGCTGGTGCTATAATTACTCAACCAACTTCCAACAAAAACCTCATTTAGAGCAGAATCCGTTACTCTAACTGTTATGTAGCGATGCCCAGAAGCTATATGGATAACAAACATAGGCATTCTCAGTAAGTGACAGGCCTCTCAATAAAATCATCATAAATAAAAGGGCTGGCTAATGACCCAAGTGCTTCTCAGATAAGAGAGCCTTCAATTCGCTGACCGCACAACTGTATTTAGGACCATGAGAACTGTGTACAGTTCACTGGAATGTAGTGACCAGACCAGTTCAGTTAGAGTAAAGCATACGCTGAGGTTGTTTGTGGAGTCTCTTCCTATAATGCTCATAATCAGCATACATGGTAAAAGAAAATCCATCATAAACAAAGTATTTATTCATGATGCACCAGAATAGCCTTACACAGCCGCCTTGCTTTCCAAGATCGCATGCGCGGCGCGCTAGGGGCTTATTTTCCTTCACGATCACACCCTTGATCGAAAGAGATGGCAACAGATGTTGCCAAGTTAACGCACAATGATACTGAAAGCACAGCAAGCAGCAGGACCCACCCCGGCAACTGTGACCACAGCCGTCCAATTCATTCTACCTGATCAAAAGTGGCCTGAAGGAGAGGCATTGGCTAGCAATGAGGACAGCATCCAGTCAGTAGAGAACACGTAAAAATAAGTAAGAAAAAGCGAGTGTGCACTAGACTGAATTTCCATAAATGGCAGACTTCGCCCAAGAAATTTCAGTAGTGCATGAGGAAGCTGTTCATACTGTGAGTGAGAACTAAGGTCTTATAATCGAGTAGAAAAGTGTTAATTTACTCTCTCAAGTCTAAAAATATGCTCTGCCATCTGTTAAGAAATGCATTTTGAGCACCTGAAATCTTAACAATGTCACTGTAAAACAGTGCAATGCATGAAGTGTAGATCTGAACATTTTATAAACCGATGGCTATTGAAATGAGTGCTCACTGTTTTTGGATTCTAATGAATAAAGTTCAAGTATTTCATGTGCTCAGCATGGTTAACGTCTTGAGGAGCAGCAAAGAAATGTCGCCGTACCTACCTAACCACTGAACAAATGATTTCACCATTGAGATGATACTCTTTATATCCCAGATATAGGGATACAGGTCATAAAGAATGGTCCTGTTGGCTGAGTTGGAGAGTCTGGTGAACATCTGGATGACGGAGCAGCACATCTCCTCAAAGTTTTCCGCTCTGGATTGCCATTCAGCTACCTATGTGAAACATATGAATACCACCTTTATCATAACCACACTATCAAACGTCTCCTGCTTCAACGCAGCTCAGCAACAATTGCAAAAAATGTTCAATTACCTACAAAGTGAGTCATAAACGCACCACCATGTGGTGAAAATAATTACTGCATTTCCACCATTTTGTGACTAAAGTATATTGAGCAAACATTTTTGTTCATATTTAATTTAACATGGACAAAAACAAGGCCATGACAGATTAAATGAGTTCCCATACATTTTGACCAACAAATCTCTGACTTTTACATGTTACCATTAATAATCATTCAAACCTACTCAGATTGGCAAATGAATGATCATTCAGATTAATTTGTGAACCAGTTAATTTGCAGATTTCACTCAAAATCAACCAACTCTAAAGAATGATAATCTCACAAATCAGACAAGGATGTTTTACCCTACACAAGATTTAAAAGTACATTAATTATAGAAATTTCAAGGAATTGATTAATCTTAAAATTATACTAATCTTTATGACTGTCCAGGCCAAGATAAACACAATTTTAAAAACAAAACCTTCTTTTTAAACATGACAATTCTCACCTTCTCTGGATCCTTTGCGTTGGAGTTCACACTAACATAATTGCTATTTGCTCTCAACCAGTTAAACTCTTTCAGCATCTGTACTGCTTTGGGACCGTGTTCGTATGGCAGGTAGAAGAGTTCAGCTAGCAGGGTCAGATCCTCCAGAGTAAGTGGCTCAGCAGTAAACAGCGGCTTCTCATTGGGGCCTGGAACAAACACTTCCTTATTGAGCTGATCATCAGTCTGCATCGGTGCAATGTCGCTGCCTGAATCCTCTTGAATGGACATCTCTGGGGACTTGGACTCTGTCAGGCTCTCTTTGTCTGTGTCCATGGGTCTGAGATCTTCTGTCATTTTAGCCTTGACAATCTCTGTGAGGATCTGGTTGACATTTTTAGTGTCCTCCACCTCATCGTGTTTCTCCACGACCATCTCCATGGGCTCTTCGTCAGACTCCTTCTTCTCCACCTCCACCTCCTCTTCTTTGCCAAGCTCATGCGGTTCATCGCTAAGGGGCACGATTGGACTCATGATGGGCTGTTGGAAGACTGTAGTCACTGTAGTGGAAATGCCCAGACTGGGCACAGTGAGTGCAGGAACATCTATAGAAGTGCTTTTAGTTCCACTGTGAGGAACCTGCCGACCTGCAACAAAGAAAGAAAGGTTAAGATAGATGATACCAAATTCAGAACAACTAAGATCACGTTACATAATATCACACAAAGAATAAATAGTTACTGTTGTACTGATGAGGCACTCCAAACTCGCTCAGCCATTCAGTGAGAGCCAGCTTGAGCGCGATCTGTGGGCTGTAGAGGATGTCTGTTTCTAGCTCCTCATCACTGCCCTCGTTTTCCAACTTTATCTGGATGGACACAGTGCTGTCTTCACTGTCTGCTACACACAGAAATGAGAAGTTATGAAGCTACAATAAAACAAGATTAAACACAAATATGATATAATGTTGATGAATTAAGTCAATCTTGATCAATAATATGAGCCAAAATTTTCACTTAGTAAAAAAACCAGCACTCTGTCCTAACTTTTTGTAGAACATCAAGAATAAAGTAGAATTCATAAGGAAAAAATCCATCTCAGAATATTAGCAGTTCTAGGGACATAAATCCATGTTAAAATCTTAACTGCTTTGAATCAGCATGAAACGGAAATTGCAATTGTCTTTTCTATTGTGATGACAGCTTCTCAAATGAGAAAAAAAAAGTGTCCATTTGGATTCGATTGGATCATTGTTATTTGCTAACTGAAAGATCAGCACAGATATATCTTTTATAATTTATTTTTTAACATTTATAACTTATTTTTTGTTCTTACAATGAAAGTATATTGGAACCGAAAATGTTTGAAGATAGATATTCATGTCATGTTCAACAGAAAAAAAGACAGCCGTATAGGTTTGGAATGACATGAGGGTGAGTAAATGATGAGTATTTTCATTTTTCGGTGAACTTACCTTTTAAGAGAAAAAATTTGCTCATTTTTATATATAAAAGTATTATAAAAACAATGTTTCCATAAAGACATACTTACTCATGACAACATCTTTTCTCACTCCATTCATGTTAGACTTATACCACGTGGCTAACGTGTGAATGGCCACAAAATTAGACTCAAATTCACAGTTGGGGTTGGTGAGGACTCCCTTCAGCCGAGGGATGAGTTCTGTGGACCTGCCTTTATAAGGCCCCAAGAAAAGTCTCTTCTGATCGTAGTCATTAGCATGAATATTGTCCCAGATGACAGGAGCTCTCCTCAGTATCTTTGTGACTTCTTCAATAGATTCAACAGTTATGTCTTTAGAAACTACTTTGGGACCTGTCAAACATGGAAAGGCATCGTTAAAATCCTCAAGAGAGCAAACTATTATTCCAGTCCCCTCAATGAAAACACAACTTACCTGTCCACAGCACCTCAATACCAGGAAGCAGCTTTTCACCTATTGTGCGCAGGTAAGGCGATTGTGACACATTTGGATAACAAAATGTTCCACAATATTCTGAAGACAAGGAAACATGAAATAATTATGAGAAGGTATGAAATAGAAACAATACATTAGCATCACACAAAGCAGCATGGTTAGTTAGTAATAATAATCATCTTACCTGTGGGGCAAAATAAAAATATTTCAGGTTCTCCCAAATATTGGAAGATCTCACTGGTTATAGACACTTGAGCATGTGCAAAGGAGCTGAATACCTCCTTGTCAGCTGGACACATGTTATGATCAATGTCATCAAACAGTAAGGCAAAAGACTTGCACCCAAAATGAGAGACCTGCACAAAAGATAAACAGAGATTGAGGATGTAGGTCATAAAAACACTGACACCAGCGCAGTATAAGCTTCCGAATAGGTTCATTCTCACCTGGTCTAACTTCCTTTTAAGTGTCGACACTTCCTTCTGATTTGAGAATGTAATGTCCAGGCCAGGGGAAATGGCATAAATGAACTCAATCCCATGCTCTTTAGCAGCACTTATTAAAGTTGTGAGTTGTTCTTTAAAAGCAAAAGACATTAGATTCATAAACATAAGCCAAATAAAGCTTAACGACCAGTACCTTTTTAAAGAGCATGAAAATAAATATCTCACCTGCTTCCTCAACAGAATACATTTCTCTCCAAAACATTCTGTGTTTGTAGTCATCTTTTGGGGCATACAGATAGGTGTTCAACCCCCATTTCTGCTGCCTGAAACGCATCAAATATAAAATAAGATTTTTTTAAGGTTAAACAAAAACAGTATTAGCAATTACAATAGCATGTATAAACTTTAAAAGAAACTAAATTAGATTTATTGGCAAGTTGAATCAGAAAGGGGCAGGATGTTTGCACAATACCTCCTGAAAAGCTCTTTCCTTTGCTCCATAGTCCATGGCCGTCCATAGAAGCCTGTGGTGAACAAAGTAAGAAAAAACAAATGGTTTTGACAAACGCAGCATATTCCACAAACAGATGCTACAGTCAATTAACACCTAAGCAATATAGAAAAAAAAATGTTTTCTAGCAATGTAGACTAATTTTAATGGTTGCATATGCGTTACATTTGGCAACATTACGTTGGATTTGTCTGAATTCGCTCACCCTCCACAACACCGGTGATGAATTTCCTGCGGCCTGTTCGCTCAACCCCGATACTGGGCTCGTCCACTGGACACTGCGTATCCGCAACAGCTTCGCTTGGCACTGGATTTGCTTCACTTTCTGACTGTGTCGACTCGATTATTTTGTCTTTCTGAACCATTTTGAATTGTACTTGATAATTTCTGTTGGAATTATCGGCCTAGTCGTCGGCCAAAGGCTTTCTTATCCAGAAACACTAACTCGATTCACTAGTGGGTTAGTAGGTCGAGTCACCGGTAGGGAGCGGAATTCTATCGGATGCAGATTATCTGCACGAACTAACGTTAACGTTAGCTGCAGATTTCTTCGTTAAAAACACGACAGTCATTCACGTAGTGTTAAAGGCTTTCTGGACTATATCTGGACTGTCTGCTCGCTCTGGTGCAAGCGAACTGGACCCGTGTTTCAACGATGTCAGAACCGCAAATTAGCATTACCCGATGTTTTCTCTAATAACTTTTGTCGAGTCACTTTACATCATGTGCTAAACATAAATTAATGACGTTTAAGCTTACTGTACACCTGCATTGCGACTTCAAACGGATCCTGTCAATGTAACGCAATGTTCGTCGACACTGTTTAATTTTGCACTCTTCTTCCTGTTTACACTTACTGCGCAGACTCAGAAAACTGGTTTGAACCAGTAAAGGACGGTTTGTGCGAGTCTGAAAACAAATCTCTAGCAAAACTCTTAAAGGGGCAGCGGGAATATTAGCTCTTGTCCAGTCTGAATGAGAATGGTGGATGGCAACCTGTTCGTTTAATTCATCCTATAATAATTGTGGATACCTTTTATACAAATATACGTGTAAATGTATTAGTACAAAGGAACTTTGTTGTGTTTCTGAACAAAATCAGAGACACTGACATTATCGGAGACTCTTTGCATTAAAAAGATTAAAAAAGACCAAGTATTCTTTAAGTTGTATAAAATGTTCCTTTGTATCTTTAACCCAGTGTCCTTTTCATTGTTTATTAATTATTGTATTGTATAAGGTTAGTGTTCTTGGAATAAACAGAGAGTAGAAAACGACCTATATTAATAAACGTAGATGATTTCTGTGAAACCGGAAGAGAATTGAGATGAACATCTCTTACGTCCACAGTCTCTGTGCAGACATGCGCATACTTAAAAGTGCGGCTATGAATAATGTTCATTAATAGTACAATAGCAAAGACAATACAATATAGGAATTACAATGATATATTTTTTTGGGATAAAATAGTTCAGCTAGGGTATGTTTACCGATCACATTCAGCGGCCATTGGCCTCTTGCGTATGAAATATCACCCCTCTATGTATCGTGAATGGTTCGTTCCATTGCTTCAGCGCTAGTTTCAACGCACATCGTCCAGAATGAATAATCTGAGTGTTCTCCTGACTAAACATCCATACATTTATTTATACGAGACGCATGTCATTTGATAAATTTTAGACTAGTTAAACAGAGACGAAGCAGAACATGATTTCTTATTTTCCTGCATTACAGCAGTAAACAAACAAACAACAACAAAAAAAAGATGTCCTGCTTGGTTTAACTAGTGTTAAATCGATCGAATGTCATGCGTTTATTGTTAGAACACAAAGTGAATATACAGCTCACGTTCTGGAAAAATGTTTATATATCAAGTGTATTATTATTACAATAGGATTGTTTAACTCGAGCTGTAGATACAGTAAATTGAGCTTTAAAGTAGCACTTATATCTTGCTATTTGTGTTCTCATTTCCACACTGAATTCCTTTTGTGCAGGTCAGTTAACATTCCAATAGCGACATCACGCTGCAGTTTATTTATTTATTTGCACCTGAACATTCTACTACGATTATATCGTCATATACTGGAACACAGTAGTGTTGCTTCTTGTGTAAGACTAGGACGAAAATGTATTCACCAAGGAGGTAAATCTCTATAAATACATAAGATAATTAACTTATGTTGATATTAATACCATAAAAACATCTCGAAAACTGGTCTTCTCTGTTCCTTAACTCTTTCCATCTACATGCGGTTGTCATCACAGTGGCAAACGTGTCAAGAGGTTTACTGAGCAGCAACAAATGAACATGGCAAGTTAAGGAACTGATCAAGACTACTGCAATGCTCTACTGACCAGCCTTCAATCCAGAACAATTAGAGAAGCAGACAAAACAGAGATGATCCAGAACACAGCTGTGCATCTAATTTTCAATCAACCAAAAAGGACCACTGGCTCCACTGACTACCTGCTTCAGATTCATGGCTTCGTTATTGGCCTAATAACCAGCATATAATCATACAGACACCATATTCTCACGTAGCCTAACAGCAGCTCGAAAGCACTGCAAGTTCACACTCACTTAAAATTGAGCTATGACATGCGATTCATCTGAATTTTTCTGTAAAATGAGAACCCCATTTATTTATACACTAATCAATATGTTGCTTATTTGGACGACATTGACACATTTTACGTGAATGTTGCAAGGGTCTGTTCAAGAATGACATTGATTTTTAATTTTAGAGAAGACAAGAAAGAATTTTTATCTCAGGTTTATTTAGGTTGAAATAAATTCAGCATTATAAACCCGTTTTCCCCAACATAATGTTTCCATTCAGTTCATTTTAAAATGTATCCAACATTCAGCAATTCAGATTAAACATTTAAATAAATTTAATCCTTTTAAAAAAATTCTATTTCATTCCAGTTTCATTATATTTCATGATCTTTTTTTTTTTTTGCCCTTTCAATTTTTCTTACAAATCTTCACTTCAATAGAAGGTGTAAACTTGCAGAAACAAACAAAAACACAAAGAGAAAAACAAAACAAACAAAAACAGTAATTGAGAGGCAACACTGGAAGTGTGGGGCAGCATTTTGCTCGGAGGTAATCGGTCTTCTCTCCTGTGGCTTGACTAATCGTTACCTTTTCAGGTTCTTCTGAGCCTGTTTGAGTAAAGTGTCGAAGTCTAGTGCATCAAATTTGCCTTTTGTAGGCTGTGGATCGTACTCCCGGTTTGAATCTGAAAGAAACCAAAAAGAGACTGTAGCATCTGGAGTCTTTAACAGGAACATTTTCAAAGACTAAATTAGTGATGCACGAAAATTTCACCAACCGGAAATATATGGCAGAAACATCAACTATTGCCCTAAAGTTACAACATGTAAATATGTCAGCACTGTTGATGCACTTAACTGTGACCAAAACTGATGCTAGAATAGCGATATGTAAAATCTGAATCAGAAATGGAGAGGCTACACGTTGCTGAAGAAATTTAGTGAGACTGGTTTCATTTATCACCTGAGAACACGACACCCTGAATAGCATATAAAGTTCAGTTGCAAATATATACATTTATAAATATATAAATATTATATATTAAATGCATACCTCGTGTCTTTAGCGACCGGGGACATCATTCACTACCCACTCTCTCTTTCATTTTTTAAAGTTAGACATCAACTTTCTTAGTATTTCTCAATCTATTCATTATAAACAAAATAACAAGAAAAAAATAAATAAATAATGCCCGTTTTCGGATAAATGTTTTTGTAAAAAGGTGTATAGGGTTCTAGAGACCCGAGGTATGTAAATGTGCAAGTATATTTTTCCTGCACAACTATGTTTACATATCTGATTGATGACTCAATATGTGCAATGCACCTTTATTCCTCGAGGTGGCACTGTTTGATACACAATGATGACGTGATGTTTCACTCATAATTACTGTAGGCAATTATAAAACAAACGAATATCATCAGCAAAAATTGAACTGGTTTGAATGGCTTCACTGCAGAGCAATTACTGTTCGCAATGAAGTATAAATGTCACTGTCATTTGATGGTGGATGTGGTGAATAAGCTGCCAGTGAACAAAATACTGTTTTTGAAGTCATTGAAAACGATAGTTTTGAGAATATGGTTGAGATCACGAATATGAGCCAGATGCTGAATGTACTGTGGAAATGCGCTCTGACGATGACAGCGATGGTAAAATCATCTGCTCAAATTGAACACTTCTAAGTTTCAAAAGGTAACGAAACATGCTTTATTTTATTCTTCTGTAATTGTTCTTAAAATATCAAGAAAGTTTTTCTGCTATTGCAGCAGTTAGAGATCCATCCATGCTGGATATATAGGTATGTAGGTATTGTGACGAGTCGGCTGCCTCCCCCTAATTATCATCATCACCCCATCCCTTAATCGCCGCCCTTCGCCAGGCTCCCGACGGGAGTGGGTGCGTGAGAGAGGAGGGGCGCTGAAACAGCCAGGGCTGGCGGCGTGTGATGGGGCACACCTGAACCAAATGGGGCCTCATCACCGCCGCTGTTTAAATGCCGAGCGTGCCTCTCCTCGGGAGACGGGTCTCTTCCCCGTGCATGCACGCTGGTGTCCTCGTGGGTCCAGGAAGGGTGCATAGAGGGATCTCCGTGCCGCCGAAGATGCGAGCTACCGGACCCGCGGTCCGGACGAGAGCTGCACCTGTTACACGGCCGTCAGGCCAGGATGCCGGGCCGTCTAGCCCCTTAACACACTGGGGCCAAGGCAAGAAGGATGCAGCCACTGGAAGAAGCCGCCGCCCCTCGCGTCCCGGACTGGAGAGGGGAGCGCGTGCGGCTGCCGGACTCTGCCCCTTACCTGGACCCTTCCTTCCTGATCACTGCCCTTCCCTGCACGAAGCCCGCAACACGACGAGGACACCAGATCCCCTGTTTTATTTCTGGACACTAGTTTCCTCTTTTCCCTGGACACTTTGTTGTTTATATTATTTTTGTAAATAAAAGCCTCTCCGAGGCCTGACGCCACACCCACTGTGTCTGTCGTGTGCGCCTCCCATGACAGTATGTGACCCGGATATGTAGTAATGATTGGCAAAACATTCAAGCATTTAAGGGTTAAATGGATTGGAAAAAAAAAAGACATGATGCTAAGCTCACCAAGATCAGCATAACTGGTCTTGCAGAACTGTCTCCTGCCTCCAAAGCACAGGTCAAATGGAAGCTCATTCTGCTCCCTCAGCTTGCTTCCATTCTCAATAGCGTCAAACGCATCCTTCATGTTGTAGTATGTAACAAAGCCATAGTTGTCCCTGAAATAACAAGAGTGTTAGCAACATTCTTTTTAGTGTAAACAATATACCAAATACAATTAAAAAAAGCCATACCCATTTTCTCTAAAGTGCACAGTGCACTCCTCAATCTCTCCGAAGAATGAGAAGCGTTCCTTCAGCTCTTTACAAGTCATGCTTCCACGAATTCGTCCAACATAAACAATTCTCCGCTCCTCCTACATACCATTTCAATTACGATGTTAGAAATCACCAAGGTGCCTTTGAGAAAAATCTAAAGACACATCTTTCTTGATTAAAATACTCACAATTGCTTTCTCCTTGTGTGTTTTTGAATCCTCATTGGAATTTTGTGAACACCGGTAACCAGATCTCTGATTAGGACTATCAATAAAATCAAAACATTAGGATTATTATAGTTAACTAAAACATAACCATAAAATAACATGTTATTTGAAATAAAATATAATATAAAAGTAAACTTGATTTCAGCTAGTTGCCAAAGTAAGTGTTCTCATTTTAATTTTAAGTTTTTAACTTGATGTCTTAACTAAAATAAACATGAATTA